CTCTTCTAAAGTGTTGTATCTGTAACAGAATTACTGAAAAATATTTTAATAAGTAAAAGATGGCAGAGAAAAAATAAATCTTTATATATTTCTGAGTAGCCAAATGTGCATTAATCACTGAGAATCACTGAGACTCCAACACCCTAAAGTGGATAAATAAAAAAATGTATTTTCAGCTACAAGCTCTAAAAGACCTAAAAAAAGGCAGTGTCTAATCACAGACTACCAAAAAAATATTTTTCTTTCTAAAATTGACCTGTCGCTGCAGTTGTTAAAAGCATATTTCAGAATTACTGATTATCACAAACACTGTTAAAGAATTTTTTTAAGATAACACTATAAGAGAAGAACCGCCATGTGATTCGTTTGACAGTTAGCAGTCATAGAACAGATCTGACTCTACGAACACAGAGTTCGGTACTGCTTGAAAAGCAATTCCTAATAAAAATTTATGCTCAAGTATGTGTGAAAATGCATTTAAAAACGCGTATTTTTGAATCTGTTTTCAAAAATGTTGAAATAGATAATACTAGACAAAATCACGTCATATTTAGAGAGTAAAATCTTTTTAACGCTATTAACCGGTGTGAAAAACCGATTAAAGGTACCATTCGAAAAGTAGCCAGAAAGAAACAAAAAATCACTCAAAATATCGGTTTCAAGATGTAAATAAAAAACATTTTCATCCAAACACTTTCCCAAATAAGCGACATTTGCAGCGCAACAAAGTAATAAAAAGTTGAATTCAAAAGACATGTTTTATTCCATAAAATCTTTTTACTTTTTCGCTTTAGTGTACACCAGCAAACAACTTTCTTTGGCGGATCACTACAATTTTATCACGAATATAGTAATCTAAAAGTGACATAGAATAAACAATAGTAGTTTCATCTCTTAAAAGGAATGAAAAGTTTGGCATGGACTCTAATAGCCCCAGTTCAGCAGTAATGCATTTTTCTAAAACAAAGAAACGTCAAATGGCTCAAACCTTCTTGTTTAAGTTATCAAATTATCCAGGTTTAGCTTTTCAGTTTGGTAACTGCTAATTTCCAGAGCGCCCAGAAAAAATAAAAACTTTTTCGCAATCGACACAGAAGCGCAAACACAGTTTTCAGCCTTACAGAATATGTAAGTAGCGTTTACAAATAGTCAAAACATTAAAATTATCGCCGTTC